AAACTTTCAACCCAACTCAGCGGCCCTTGAGTCTATATGGTAAGGAAGGAAAAAAAAAGAAATAGGGTTTTTCTTCCCCCCAGAATTAATATAGATGGTTGGGAGCTGCAGTCTGAGAAGATCCATGGGATTCTTGGAAGAAAAGAGCACAGAGCAGGCAGACGTGGAATGGGAGTTTGTGGCAGAGCAGAATTACAGTGGCCACGGAAGTCCTTGATGGAGCAGGTGACTCTCACCTCTACTTTCTTTTTCACCTTCAACCTTGGCACTAGTGACATCTTGGGACTAAAAATTCTTTGTGGTGAGGCTCCTGGATGGTTAAGCATCCAACCCTTGATTTCAGCTTGGGTCATGATCTCAGGAGTCTTGGGATCGAGTCCCATGTCAGGCTCCACACTGAGCATGGAGCCTGCTTGGGATTTTCTCTCTCCCTCTCCCTCTGCCCCCCCCCCACACTCATGCACACTCTCTTGCTCTCTCTCCAAACAAAAAACAAACAAAATCTTTGTTGTGAGGGGTCTGTCCTGCTTACTATTGGAGGAAGTTTATTTAGCAACATCCCTGGCCTCTACCTACACTACATGCCAGTAGCAACCCCTCTCCCCTCCAATTGTGACAGCCAAATATGTCTCCAGACACCAGCAAATGTCGGGGTGGGGAGGGGCAAACAGAAATGTCTCTGACTGAGAATCATAGCCTTATGGTAATATGACTAGCTGATTGGTTCTTGAAGGGTCACAAATATGAACAGTGAAACCACATTACACATAGCAGTGTCAGAAGATGAAAGTGTATCATTCTGTGCTAAAACATTACAAGAACGCTTTTTTTTTTTTTTTTTTAAGATTTTATTTATTTATTTGACAGAGAGAGAGGCAGCGAGAGAGGGAACACAAGCAAGGGGAGTGTGAGAGGGAGAAACAGGCTTCCTGCGGAGCAGGGAGTCCGATGCAGGGCTTGATCCCAGGAGGAACGCTTTTCTTTTTTTTTTAAAGATTTTATTTATCCATTCGACAGAGAGAGGGAGCACAAGCAGGGGGATCAGCAGAGGAAGAGGGAGAAGCAGGCTCCCCACTGAGCAGGGAGCCCAACCTGAGGCTCGATCCCAGGACCCCAGCAGGATCATGACCTGAGCCAAAGACAGATGCCCAACCAACTAAGCCACCCAGGTGCCCCTACAAGAACTCTTTTCTAAAGCCAGTAATTTAAAAAGAAAAATGCTTTCTTAATCATGACTACAGAAATTGAAGACTGAAATTCTTGTCTACTCCGTGATTCTCAGAACAAAGTGGCAAACACAGCGGATGTTAGAGCTGCCTATGCTAGACCACTCTCTACTTTCTCTCTCTCCTCTGAATACTTCAGAGGTAGGACATCACATGAGAGACACAAACTCTTAAAAATGAGGACAGATACTAACAAATTTCTAGAAAAACAGGGATTTAGCAAATGACAGAATTTTCTCCCATTTAATTCTGGTTGAAAAGTGAGAAATTTCCAATTCAAATATTTTAAAGGAGGCTTATGATACCCTTTTTTTTTTAAAGATTTTATTTATTTATTTGAGAGAGAGAATGAGAGACAGAGAGCATGAGAGGGAGGAGGGTCAGAGGGAGAAGCAGACTCCTTGCTGAGCAGGGAGCCTGATGTGGGACTCGATCCCGGGACTCCAGGATCATGACTTGCTCATAGTGAGCAAGAATAGTAAGACAGTCGCTTAACCAACTGAGCCACCCAGGCGCCCATGATACCCACTTTTAACTAAATAGGGGTATAATGCCTCCTCAGAACCTGTATTTCCTGTTTATAGAGATTTTTTTTTTTTTAAAGTAATCTCTACACCTAACGTTGGGCTCAAACTCACAATCCCGAGATCAAGAATCAGCAGCTATGCTGACTGAGCCAGCCAGGTGCCCCTGCATTTCCTGTTTAGATCAATAGTTAGAGAACTCTTTGGAGATGCTGAAAACTCAATGTAAATGTTTCCCTTGGCCCGGGTCTTTGCCAGTACAAACATTCCATATGAGGACTGATGATATGAGCAAGAATCTACACTTTGAAGTCATGTAGTGAGGTAACCCAAAGGAAAAAAACTTGGACACAGAGGAGATTTAGCTGAAGGACACGAGCCCCTGATACAGCTGTGGCCATATCATTACACTGCTTTGAGAAAATGGAACTGAAGCTGAAGCCAGATTCATGCCATCACTACCACAAACTCTCATTCTTCATCATAAAGCAGTAGAAAAGGAAACAGCACTCCATGGGACCTCTTATAAAGAAAGCAATCTGTGACATTACTCTGGGCATCAAGCCTGCTGAATTACCAAAATAAAGCTCGGGAAGTTGCTACTTAGGTAAAAGAAGGCTAAAAATAAGTGAGAGGCACAACTCAGAAAGGCCAGGGAATCCTCTTGAACTCTGAAAGCTTTCCCTGTGCCTCAGGATGAACGGAAGATTTAGAACTTATATGTGTAAAAGTGCATCATCACCTACCTACAAACAGCAATGGGTCAGGTAACGAGGTGGGGAGACACTGTACCCTCAAGTTCTCTATACCCAAATGGGCTGGATCAGAGCCGATTCAATGGTATCAGTTTAAAAAAATAAGACCCACCTTATATGTTACCTTGTATGTTGTATAAGTACATACATATGATTCTACGCACACTCTATAACATGTATTAGTTCTATACTATATGACTGTATGTTATAGTATGTAACTATACTTCCAACATCCAAACACCAGGAAATGCGTCTTACTCATCTGTTTCTCTTCTTACTATGGAGCTTGAATATCTTTCAAATAACACGCTACTAATGGATCCAGAAAATCAGAAGTCCTAAGCCATGATTTCTATGAAGATATGCATGGTCTCTGAAAATTTTTCTGAAGAGAGACCTATGTTTGGAAAAGCCAAAGATCCACCCAAAATTAAGGCACAGTAATTGCTGACAAGAGATCAGAAATAATTCCTCAAACTTTTGACCTCTGAACTCTGACTCATGAACAATTCCCATTTCATAACTACGTTTACATGAATCCCATTTAGGTTCTAATGGGACTCATGAAAACCGTAAACACAGAAACCAGAGAAAAATGGAAAACTTAACTCTCACCACTGAGAACAAGACCTTTATACACAGCGAAGATAAGGATTGGAATGGAAAAGAGACTTATGAAATTTCTGAAGTCCTGAAAAGCCTGTAACAAATGTTTGCCAAGAATTTTCTAGGACTCCTTACAGGGAATGAAATGCCAGGCATAGCGAAAAAGGTTGAGGCAACACACAACAGAACACCACCCTACATAAGGCAGAGCACACAACTAAAAGAGCCTAAATACACGTGAAGAATTGAGAGTAAGTGCTGATTTCCAACCTGTGGTGGCTGTGTGGTGGTGAAGCGATATTCTCCTTGTTTGTCTCGATTGAACACAACTTTCCAAAGGACCATGTCAAGGAAGAAGTTCTGAGAGATATTCCAGTGAGTTAAGAATTAAAAATGACTAAGTCATTCTTTATTACTGTGCACATTTTCAAAGGCTCATACAATGCTGCATCATTAGTGAAAAACATGACTTGGTTTTCATATAGACAATTTCAGTTAATATTTGAAAAGGGTAAGGATAACAACAGAACTTTTTTTTTTTATAAGAAAACTTTTGTAACAAATATAAATCACCATAAAATTCTTGATAAAATGGGACCCCTAAAATTTCCACAAAATATGGCTTTTATTTGAATCCTTGGGTCTTTCCCATATTAAAATAATGCTTATAATCTGAGTCTTTTTTCTTAACAATGAATTATTTTCATTGAATTAACATATTAATTCTGTATCTATAAATGAGTATGACTTCATCAGAGTCCAACACAATTCTTTTGATAGTGAGCAAGAATAGTAAATTAAAGAGATTATGAGAGGATTCCCTAAAAAGTGTTTTTCTTTAAATTTTATTTTAAATAACATTTGCGTGAATAGATGTACTTATACTATAGAAAAAGGAAAGCTTTTAAAATATAATATCTTGGATGTGCTTTCTAGTGTCCATGAAATAGCAAAAATACTTTCCACTGGGCAACTTAAAAAGATATTATGTTAATATCCACGCTGCCCACTATGACCAAATTTAAATACCAAGTCATCTTTTAGAAAGATAACAAATTAAGCACAATTTCCAAGTCGAGAACTATTATCACCAAAGTATACACATTTTCCCACAAATTACCTAATTTTAATTCAAAAGCCTGCCCTATGAAGAAACCCTTCACTTAAAAATCACAACCTTAGCTCCTTCTTCCATTTCATATATTGCTACTGTAGGAGTGAATCATAACAGTTCTGAGAACAGACAAAATTTTATTAATAAGCAGCAAATGAGAAGTTACTAGCTCCTTTTATAGAAATCAACTTAAAGGCAATCCCAATAGGAGAGTAACTATATAATATACAATGGATCAAAGAGGACTTAAGACCTCCAGAGGAAACTCAGAAGTAAATACCAAGGAGGAAGCTCCAGTAATCAGTGCCATTAAGTTCACAGCGGTCATTATTTTATACTTTCAATAAACTATTATTAAAATTTACTACATTTCATGGAGAAAGCCCCCTCCTTCCTTTCCTACCTTAAATGGGAGATTTTACTGTAAATCACAGGTCTCTGGTTGTACACACCCACTCTGATTTTGTATCACTGGTTTACTAGTTTAGGGGCCACCTGAACACCAATCTTCTCCCCTTTCTATAGATCACTAATTTTTGCTATCTCACTGCTTATTTTCTCCTATCTATAAGAGTGCAGCTACATCATATCCCTTAATATGACAATTATCAGTTCATGGAAAAGGTCAGAAGACAGCTAAATCAATTTAACTAAAATGAGACTGAAACTCTTTGTGGGCTTCCATAATGTTACCTGTCCTCTTCCCCCAAGACTAAATAAATCACCAAGAATCCCACAGCAGCAACGTAGCCATTTAATTATCTGAAATGCTTACCTCCACCATGATAGATACAAGGGCATTGACAAGAACAATCATGAGCATAGTTATACGCCACTGATACGGTACACACACTATCTGTAAGACAAAATTTTAAGTTAAAATTATAGTATGCAGTTGATATTACAGCATTTTATCAAAATTTCAGTATTTACTGAATTCCTATTACATACCAAGCACCTTCACATACATTATCTACTCAATCCTTAACAATGCCACAAGGTATATCCACTTTTCAGAGGATAAAACTCAAAAGTGTAACTCAGGGTTGAAAATAGGGTAAAGTGACTGAGCTTAGAGTCAAATCCTATTTACTCAGACTGAAAAGCCGATGCTTTCTACTAGTTCACGAATTTCTAGCAATTCCCTATTTTTAAAATAAAATCCTGTCTTTAAACAATGAAGCAAATACTGATTAAATAATGAAGTATCATTCAAAACACTATATATTGTTACAAAGACAAATTCATAAAAGAACTATACAAATCGATTTAACAAATACAGCCTAAGTTTTCACTTTAAAATCTGGTTAATTTCTAAGATCTAAAAAATAAAAGAAAAAATCCCATTCATGCATTCACCTATTAGTCAACAAATATTTACTGAGTACCTAAAATACTGTGCTAGGTGCGGAGAAGTGATACCATCTAATATGTTCTAGAAAAACAACCTATGACTCCAGCAAAAAAGATTTCAGGGGTGGAGACTGCTATAGTGATCAAGACAAGAAATGATGGAAGTCAAAACTAGTGATGGGGGCACAAAATAATAAATATTTACTTGGTCTCTGTCTGACACAGAGCTCTTAAAACTCTTGTAATTTCCTGAGTGATGGTGGCAACAGGAATATCTAACCCAGAGCTTCTAAATCCACCGGAATTTCCTGGGGATGTTTTTTATTCTAATGAGGCTACTCTTGGTGGGCTCCTTGATAGCTTCAGGATGGGGGCTGGTCACCAGAAAAACTAAGCCATGATTAGAAGCTTGGAGCTTTCAGCCCCACTCTCCCATCCTCCATGGAAGGGAGAGAGGCTGGAGACTGAGTTAATAATTGACCATGACATGATGAAGCCTCCATTAAAAAAAAAAATCCCTGAACTTCAGGGTTTAGAGAGGTTCTGGTTCGGCCAACACATCCATGTGCTGGGAGGGTAGTACATCTCAACTCCACAGGGACAGAAGCTCTTATGCTCGAGACCCTTCCAGACCTTGGACTACCTGCCTCTTCATCTGGCTGTACATCTGTACCTTTATTATAAACCAATAAACATTAAGTGTTAACCTGAGTTTTACAGCAAATTATCAAACCTGAGAAGGGAGTTCTGGGAACCCTGATTTATAACTAGTCAGAAGTACAAGGGATGACCTAGGACTTGCCACTGGTCTCTGAAGTTGAGGAGCACTCTTGTGGGACAGAGCCCTTAACTTGTAGGGTCTGTGCTAATTCCAGGTAGCTGGTCTAAGAACCAAATTATAAGATACCCAGTTGGTATCCAGAGTTGGAGAACTGGTTGGTGTGGGGCACACATTTGGTGTTAAAAGTATTGTGAGTAGAGGAAACAAGAGCTTCCCTCTAGCTGGCAAATGGGATGAAGCAAAGCTAAAATAGATTCAGAGTAAGAAAACGGAGAATCTAGCAACTGACTGACTATGCAAAGAAAAGAAGACAAGGACACATATACACACTTCTGACTTGGATAAACAGTGGTACCAAAAAAACAAAGACAAAGCAGTGTTGAGGGAAAACATGATGATAAGCTTAGCTATCAAGATGCTGAATGAGAGAACTGATAGGTGAACCATGCATATAATATTCAGTATGTCAGTGGATATTCAGTTTTAAAGCTCAGTTGTGAGATCTAGGCCAACACAGAAGATACCATCCATGGGTGAAGCCGGCACTATACATGAGCTTATCCAAATACACAGAGTAACATGAGGGAGAAGAACAGAAATGTGTGGAACACTAACATTTAAGGAACAGGAGAGTCTGGAACCACCATGGAGAATAAGAACAAGGTGTCACAGAGGTAGGAAAAAATCAGAAAGGAGTACAGCATAACAAAATTGTAGAGAGAGTCTCAAGAATGATTGCCTGGCTAACCTCTCAAATACTAGTCGTCAAGTAAGGTTGGAAAAAAACTAAAAGGACAAGTCCACTGGATTTAAGAAGAAAGTTGTTAATGGCCTTGACCAGGGCAATTTCATTACACTGGCAGGGGTAGAAGCCAAACTATTTGATGAGTATGTGAGAGGTGAATTGAATGTTGCACTCTTTTAAGAAATAATTTGGCTGTGAAGCAGAAGACACATATGCCAGGAGAGAAACAAAAATGGGTTTTCTTCTGTTTTCTTCTTTTGCTTAAAGTGCTTATCTAAATCCCTCAATGGGGAAACAGACACACTCATATACACACTGCTGGTTAAGACTATAAATGGTCAACCTCTTCAAAGTTCAATAACACAACTGCTTGTACCTCAGATAAACCAACCCTGAACATGGGAAAATACTAGAAACAATCTAATTATTTTCCAACAGAGAATGGAGAAATGAATGAAAGGATACTCCTATAATGGAATTCTATAGAGTGGTGAAAATGAAATGCATGTATCAACAAGGACACATCTTAAAAATAATGCTAATGGGAAAAAGCAAGTCACAGAAAAATACAAACAGTAAGATACCACCGTCATACAGGTCAAAAGCAAGCAAAACTATCTCTATGGCTTCATACAGCATGGTCTAAGTGTATACTGAAAAGCAACACAATGAAGCAAAAAATTAGAATAGTGGTTCCCTCAGAGTGTTTAGAGAAAGGTATGCTATAGTGCCTTACTGGTGTTGGTAATGTTGCCTTTTTTTTAGGTTGGATAATGAACTCCTGGGTGTTATTTTATTACTATTATGCTTAACAACTTAAATATGTGTGTGCATATTCTTCTATACAAAACAAGTATTTCATCATTCATAAAGCTTTTAATGAAAAGATGAACTCAGTGGACAGTGAAGAAAAGGCAGTAGGTACAGACTATTCCAAGAAGTAGGTTGAGAAGGGACAGATCAAGTAACAGGGTCAAAGTTTTTTATTTCTAAAGACCAAGGAACATTTGTTTGTAGATAAGGAAATGGAACCAGAAGCAAAGACTGAAGAAACAGGAAAGAGACATAAAATATCAGGAGACTCAATAAAAGCTGCTGTTTCAATTATGTTCTTTATTCTTTTTAGGGTATATTTGGGTTAATATAACTGCATCTTAGAAAATTCAGAAAGAAGAGATCCTGGGGAAAAAGACCTTGACAGCTGAATCCCTGTCCCCAGTACTATGAGAGCAAAGGAGGGGGTAGATCATAAGCCCTAGCAAACCTCCAGAAGTCCCATTTGGCTGTGTAAGTATCACGTAATACTAACGTGTCATTTTTCTATTACTGTTTTACTACCGCTATCCTACTTATTATCACCCTCAGACAACCAGTAGTAATTGATGTGCTGAACCCTTACCTGAAGAACCTGGTCAATAGAGGCAACTGGATGCAACATGATGAGTAATATGAAAACATACAAAATAATCACAGACACAACAAAAAAATCTGAAAAAGAAAGTAAAACAATTAAATTAGAAGTTCCTTTAAATAAAAATGCATATAATACAACTGGCATACTGGCAATCTTAAATTTGGCTTTGAATCTATCTATTTAGGTTGGTGAAGTATATAAAGTCTGTGTTTTATGTTATTTCCTAGAGTACAGTACATTATTTAGGCCCAAAAAATTCATTTATGTGATAAAGAAATAATCAGCATTTATAAAAATAGGAGACAGACCTTTATGGACATTTATTTCTATTTTTCCCAGATAGATAGCTACTTTATAAGATAATCAAGCCCATATATAATTCAAATACAGGAGACTAGACTATGTAGAGCAAAATGAGATTATCATTTAAAACATGTATGCTCTAATTACTGTTGACTATAAAAGTACTGAATAACATTTATTCCCAGTATTTGGTATGTTATAATCCTAAATAGAAGCATTCTAATTTGACTATATTTCTATTAAGTGAATCCCACCTTCTCAATGACTTCCTCTGTAAAAATAATTCCACAGAAAATGTTAGCTAAAACCCAGAAACTGAGTTGATTTACTGTTTTAAACATGGGCTAACCCGCATGCTGCAGTAGCTAGGAATGGTAAATTCAATCCAGCAGTACTTTGCATTACTTTCCTAACTCAAAAATAAAACTCCCCGCTTATGGCCATTTTGTTAACTGTGTACATACATGCATACATTTGCACATATACAAGCATACTCTTAGATAATGAGCCTTAAGGTTCAGAAATTTCCCCATTATAATATCCCCCAATTTTTTTCCTTTTTTTTTGGCCTGGATATTTATTTACAAGTTCTTATTTGAGGTCATCTTGAAACTTAAATTTTACTAATACCATGTAAAACCAAAATTTTATGATAAAGCCTTCAGATTGGGTAAAGAAGTTAATATCCTATTTTATGGACTGTAAAAGAGGGATCTCATACTATTTTTAAATGTAGGAGTCAAGTCATTTATAAATATAAACACTGTTAGTATGTCAGTTCAAAACCATAGGCCAATATTTACTGTCCTGTAGAAATAACATTATATTATATATTGTTTTATATATTTAATATACATATTTATTGTTCTAACAACTTAGGCTGGAAGTTATATTAACATTCATGCCAAAGGGGGAAACTTTTATTATGAGTCACTGACCAACAGGATGAAAAATTTGGTACCCATGTTAGATTTTTAAAAACTTTTTCTTCTTAGACTTTTATTTTTTAAAACACACTACTAAACTGTAAACACGAAATATAACATTCTGTTCAATAAATGTAGCAAACAAAGCATTATGTAAGTTAATTCAAATAGTTATTGTGGTCAGTTAAAGAAAAAGTGTTTATTTAGAAAGTGCTAGTTGGAAGTACAGAAACACACAAAAGACAAAATCAGAAAAAGGACAAGAAGAAATGGTCAGAATACAAAAGCCAGAGAATACAAATGCCAGAATACAAATAGAGAGACATGGAGACAGAAAAAGTTATTTCAAAATAGTAATAGCCCATACTGAATGTTTTCCAAATCTTACTGCATTTTTACAGCTATAAGCAAAACAGATTTGCAATCTAGTTCCTGACATGTTGCCAGAAAACATTTTTTTACTCAGGCTCACAGACTTCTTACATCCACCTCAACAGTGTTTGTCAAATTTTCCTGTCTTTCTCCTAGAGCCACTTCCTTTGATCACACCTCCAAAAACCTGCCAAGATTTCCATGTGAAGCAGAAAATAAGTAATTAAACCTCTCCTTTGTTTAGCCAGGGGAGAAAAAGGAGTCTGACAGGGACTGTGCATGGCTGGCAGATGTATATAACCACTGAAATGAAAAGATCAGTAGAGAAACCAAGAATGGGAAAATCAGGTATTCATTTTCGAAAGCTATGGAGTTTCTAGTAGACTGTGCTCTCCACTCCTAGACGGTCCTAGCAATGCTACTTAAGTACAAGCAATACTCTTCACCAGAAGACAGCAATCAAAACAAATTCTGTGTTGGTAGTGACTGGAGATCAGGGGAGAATGTTCCTGAAGTTAAAAATTTATATTCTACCACAAAGCTGTGTGAACATGAACAAGCCCTTAGGAGTCAAGGTATTTTAACTAATAAGATGAGGATATGATGAGGATACCATACAAAAGAGCAGACTTGGTCCTTAAAATGCAAAGTATTTGTAAATTCAAGTTATTATTAAATATGTCCCAGCTTATGGCATCACAGATTTGTTAATGATACCAGATGGTCTTGATGGAATATGGCATCAAAACCAGGCACCAGAAAGGATTTCCTTTATATTCCCCTTAGTATGTGACTCAAAAATAAAACCTTACATAGAATAAATAAACCTACAATACTCGTTCATGATTTTGATATATACTTCTCTTGCTGTTCCTTCCTCAAAAATATGAACTGGGGTCTTCTGACCTATAACCACAAGTTTCAAATCTTTTTATTCCTAACGCCACTTCCTAACTCAGTTTCTTGTCTTTGAAAGGCCACTTTATCCTGTAGGGCCTCTAGGTATCTGTTCCAACCAATTCAGGCATGGCAGGGGAACAGGAAAAAATGCAGAGGCCCTGTAGAGGAGGAGATACTGGCAGTTCAATAGTGGTATCTTCACAGACTGAGAAAGGACTTGGATGTCACAAGCAGGAAGTTATAGGAGGCAAGTAAGAAACTGTAGCAAAAACCGAAGCCAAATCCCAAGAGATCACATCTAGTTAAATGACAGTGTAAGAACTGAGTCCATATCTTCATGGCCCTTGAAATGATAGCATGGTCAAAGGAGAAAATATAACTGGACTAAGCTAAAGCTGAAAGTGGGTCACCGCAGACTGAAATTCAGTTTGACTCAGAATCCAACCAGTAGAAGAGAACAAAAACATTCTGATGAGAATGCCTGAAATGCCTAAGAATGAGATTAATTTTTAAAGACAATAATCTCAAGACAGGTTTAATACATTTCACTGTTTAGATACAGAGAACAGTAACCAGCAAGTCCTAACAAAGAACTGCTGTCAATTCTAAAGGAGAAAATGAAAAGCTAATGTCAGCTCTAGTAAAGCCTTAACCTTTCCCCATTCATTCCCAGCTTTATTTATACTTTATACTGTATATTACTTTATACAGTTAGACTTTATTTCTGTCACTTCTTTTTTTTCTACCACCTTTCTTTATTCATCAGTTACTCCAAGATTAAGGGGCTCCAATGACAGACCAAGAGACAAGATGTGAAAATTAGCAAAATACGTTTGTGTTTAGTGTTCCTATTTTATTTTTCAGAAGGCATGTTTTAAGACAGCATGCACTTCTGTTTATCCACCAACAAACACACACAAGCTGCTTATATGCAGGACAAAGGTTTTGTGGCTATATATTCACTAAAACATAATTTTTTATACTACATTAAAAAAAAAAAATAGTCCAGTGATCAAAAACTGAGTTTATTATTTATTCAAGTCAATTTGAAACTAAATGCAAATATAAAATATCTTAATACAAAATTAAATGGGAATACAAAGCCTTTAATATTTTTTGAAGTTTTCCAAATAATACCAAATATACATTTTAAAAAATAGGCAATTAATAATCTCTTTTTTTAATTGGAGAAGCATGGATAGGGTAGATTTACTGAGATCTCTAAAATTAGTGACATGGCTGTCTTGCTTATTGAACAGTCTGAACCCCAGTTTTCTTATATAAAGAAAGCATTATTCTCTGACAGATGTCAGATGTTTTAGCTACCCTTAGGCATGCTAAATATTTCCTTGAAATTTAAAAATATGGAACTAAAAATAAAACATGTATGTCAACCTTAACTTTAGTTATGAAGTACTCTTAGAAGAAGTGATTGACCTTCTATGGAAGGCTTTTTGGCCCAAAGCATGCTTCCAATATGGCTCTCAGTAATACAGTTTCTACTTGTTAGATAATATCAGGTTTTTGGTTTTCCCCCCCAGCTCCAACATCTGTTTTTTTGGAGGGGGAGGGACAGAGGGAGAGAGAGAATCCTAAGCAGACTCCACGCTCCGCAGAGACTGATGTGGGGCTCGATCCCATGACCCTGAGATCACAACCCACGCTGAAACCAAGAGTCAGAGGCTCAACCAACTGCACCACCCAAGCTCCCCAATATGAGTTTTTTTTTAAAAAAAGAAAAAAGTAAAAACAGATTTCAATATTATTGATACTTGTATAGTCTTACCTGTCCAAAATAGAGAGTAATAAAATGTGACCTACAAACCATGTAGTGTAGAATAAATAAATGTGAAAATGCTTTGTAAACTCAACTACTATTCATTCTAAGATACTGCAAAAATTGAAAGTTCTTTATGAAAATAATTAAGTTACCCCACATATTAATTAGTATATTCTCAATTTTTTAAAAATTAGCAGTTTATATATAGTAACTGACTTTTTCCCCATAAACCCTAATTTTGATCAATCAAGATGCTATCTCCTACTGCCATAGTTAGATGAGTCGACATAGGCACAAGACTCCATGCTACTGACCCTTTCAGCAGGGGATGCAAAGGTGACACAAAGAATTCCAGGTGAATAATGTCTGTACCAGTGTCAAAAATGATGAAAAAGACAGCTGGCACTGTGCAGACCACCCAGAAGCAAAGTATAATACCCACTGTTCCAACTGAAGAACCTCTGTTCCTATTTCTAATTCTAACTCTGTCTGCAATGGGCTGTAAAAATAAAAGCTGGAGCCAGAAGCAATAGGATGTGAAAACCCAGAATGTTTACAACTGGTAGCTTCAATTTCCAACTTTAGAGTGGCAGCTACCATGAGAACAAAGCAAGACTATCAACATCTAAATCACTAGGTTCGTTCTATTTGTGAAGACCTATTTCACTCTGAAAGAAGCTTCAACTCTACTCTTCTTACATTATTTTTAAAGAAAGGAAGCAGGATAAAAATCACAAATGCCAAACTTACAATTCTTGTAGCA